CAAAATGTGAGAATAACCCCTTTTGCGACAAGCCATGAAGATTCTGTTTATAAACGGTTCGGAGGCACATCCTGTCAACCTGGGCCTAAATAAATGAGTCCGCCTGCTGTGAGGGGAGTGACAGCAGTGAGGCATAAAAGGCATTTAATGGAGCCATGCCAACATCTTTTAAGATGGGGAATTATTACTTTACTGAAAACGAGAAACCCGCTGAGCCATTGCTGACATTTTAAATTGATATTTCAAGTTAATAAGATGAAATATGTAAATTTATTTGGTCTATTCATCTGGTGCATCAAGGAGATCTCTGAGCTCTTTCATTAGCATTAAACAGACATGCCCCGCTGCGGTCAGTTCAGATGCTCAGTTCAATTACTGCAACTTTTATCAATAGAAAGACATTCTGCAGCCAATGGCAGCAAAATAACCTGATAAATGTCATAATTTGACTATATAAATAGACTTCAAACAAACTAAAATATTTATTTGCGTTTCAAATGATCTATGAAAACAAAGTCAGCAAATTAATTTACATCAACACATACATGTGTGTGTGTGTTCCAATATTTGCCATGTTTTTTTTAATTTTATGAAGTAGACCTATGTTTTCTTATAGGTGAATTCTCTGAACTGAAAAATACTACGATTTCCATCCATCAATTATCTTTACCCTCATCATCATTTTCAGGTCGAGCCACTGGTGCCACTGGTGTCACTGCCGCCCATGTCTAGCCATCACTGTGCGATAGGTGGGGGACACCCTGGACAGGTCGCAAGTGTTAGGATTACATTTCCCCATGTGTCATCTCCCCCTTGTGGCCTGATCCTGCTCTCACATAATTTCCCTCATGTAATTGGCACCTGCCGTTCACCTGTTACTCCTCCCAGTTGTTTGTGTTTACCCCTCATTAGTGTTCCTATAAATCCAGCACCTTGTCTTTGTTCCCCTGTCCAAGGATTATCTTCCGAATGGTGTCATGGTCTGCCTCTGATCCTCTCGTGATCTCTTTGAGTAAGTTTGCTGCCATGTCAGCGTTTTGTTTTTTGTAACATTAAATATATTTCTTTATTTTTACCTGAGCTTTCTGTGTCTGTCTGCACCCTGGGTTTACCTCCACACACCAGAACATGGCTGTTCCTGGCTGTGCTCGTCCCGGAGAATGAGTTGTGGCTCCACCGGGTAACACGCCAGTATGTGGATACGATGGCCACCTCCTGTGACCTAGAGATGAGGTGTTGACCACTGAGGACATGTTGTGAGTTTTTTCACCTGCCCGGACTTTGTGATTCCCCAGAATGTTGGAGATTTTGTCCGAGGGTTTTGAGGAAAGACACATGCTGCGCACTCTTCTCCCTCAGCTTCCTGCTCTGACATCCGATGAGTACAGTGATTCTCCTGAGGCACATAAAGAATTAGCTCCTCACGCTGTTCCTCTCCACGTCACTTCTCGTCACTGTCGAAATAGGGGCCGCTGTCGGACCCAAGCTTGGTCCACTGACCCTCCTTCCTTGTTGCCCGCTCCTTCATGTATCTCAATGTGTGGCGGCTGCGATGGTCCTCCTTCTTATAGTGTCTCCGAGCGGGTCCTGGAGGACACCTTTCATCTTTGCCCCGAGAGTGTCCAGAAGGATGCCACTCAAAGTTCATCTTGCGTCCCTCAAAGGGTCCCAGACAACACCTCTCATTTTTCCTCCAAGAAGGTCCAGATGGACGCCTCTCACTGCTCTGCCTCGCCTTCAAAGTTTGCCAAAGAGAGCCCCACATTGGCAGAGGGCTCCATGTCAGTAGATGGCTCCATGTCACCAGAGGAATGGACAAGTCAGCTTCAACCAGAGTCGGCTAACGTTTCTCTATTGGATCGCATTAACTCCTCAGATAGGTATCACATAGACCTCATTTCCTTGAACTCACAACTTCAGAAACTGTTCACTTCTGTTGCATTCAACACAGACTGTCAATACCGATTCACTACTTTCTCCAACATGGAAAAATATTATTATCTAAACACGAACTCATTCAACTCCCGGAATACTATGGAATACTTCTCAACGTAATGACTCTTAAACAACGGTTCAACAGTCCATCCATCTCCAACTCACCTGTGCCACCACAGAACCCACAAGACCCACCTACTCCAAGTGTTTCCGAGCGGGTCCTGGAGGACGCCTCTCATCTTTTCCCTGAGAGGGTCCAGAAGGCTGCCTCTCACAGCTCTTCCACATCTTCAGAGTCCCCCACATCTGCAGAGAGTTACACAGTCTTCAGAAAGCTTCAGTCTTTAAAGAGCTCCAAGTCTTCAGAGGATCTCAAGTCTCCGGCGGTTCCCAAGTCTTCTCCACCAGAAGTCTCCATGCCGTATCCACCAGAGTTCTCCACACCATCTCCAACAGAGGGCTTCACACCTCCAGAAGTCCCAGAGTCTCCTGAGGTCCCCAAGTCTCCTGAGGTCCACGATCCTCCTGAGGTCCCAGAGTCTCTGCCGTTCACCTGTTACTTCTCCTTGTTGTTTGTATTTGCCCCTCATTAGTGTGGGAGTGGTGACGCAGAGGTTAGAGAATCTGGGCTGGTGATCAGAAGATTGCCAGTTCAAATCCCAGTACAGACAACGTCAAATGTGGGTGGGATAGGTGAAGCACCCAACCCTGCCCCCACCTTCATTTGCCCCACTCGGGGCCCTTGAGCAAGGCCCTTAACCCCCACCATCTGCTCCTCCAGGTGCCCTATTTAGCAGCTCTCTGCTCCACACATAGGGCTGTGGTAGCTCGGTGGTCTGTGGTTGCATCATGAAGGGCATCCGGCGTAAAAACAATCGCCAAGTTTTCATGCGACTTAGTTTGCTGTGGCGATCCCTGAAGAAGGGAGTGACCAAAATAAAATAAAAAAGTGTTCCTATAAATCCGGTGCCTTGTCTTTGTTACCCTGTCTGAAGATTATCCTCCCAATAGTGTCACAGCCTGTCTCTGCTCCTCTCATGATTTATTTGAGTAAGTTTGCTGCCACATCAGCGTTTTGTTTTTGTAACATTAAGTATATTTCTTTATTTTTACCTGCGATCGCTGCGTCTGCCTGCAGCCTGGGTTCACCTCCACACACCAGAACATGAGAGCAAGTCCATCACAGGGACATATAGAGACAAACGAGACAAAAAACCATTCACTCTCTCACTCACCTCACACCTAGGAACAATCTAGAGTTACCAATCAGCCTAACATGCATGTTTTTTGTCTGTAGGAGGAAACTGGAATACCCGGAGAAAACCCAGGCATGCATGGAAAGAACATGCAAACTCCATACAGAAAGGTTTATTTTATTTATTTATGTTTTTTTTTTTTCATTTGACTCTAAAAAGTGAGTCATATCTATTCAATCTTCTTCAGTTTGTTCCTGGAGTTTCCACTTTGTTGGTAATAGAAATATTTTCCACAGTATATTTGGCTCATTCACACAGACTGTTATCCAATTACAGTCACATTTTGACAGGAATGCGACTCCAACCATCAAACTGAAGGCAATAAAACAAAACAACCTTACACCAGCAACAGAGCAACCATCAAGTTTTGGGTCTGAAATAGAATAAGTGTCTCCACTTTGAGCCCACAGCAGCCTGTAGAGTGGACTGACTGCCACTCTGATTGATTACAGGGTTTCCGAGGGCTATAGGTGCTGTGTGGATGAGTGCACAGTGATGTGTGACTGTGTGTTGGAGAACAGCCGCTCCCTCCCTGACTGGATTCCCTCCTCAGTCCTGCAGTGGCGGCTGCGCTCGCTGCTCCCATCGGCAGGAGCTCAGCCATCTGAGGAGCCCGCCTGTCCAAGAGAAACAGCTGACGGAAACACAATGGGAACAAGTCTCTGTGGAGCTTGAAAGACCGATAAGAGCGCACACATGGTGGACACAAGTGATCCAGGGGCAACTTTGCCTCTGTATCCTTTCTCCTTTTTTCTTTTCACAACATCCTGAGGCTGAACAGCATCAAAAATGATCCACACGGATAAGGTCAGTATTAACAACAATCTTAAATATTCAATTTACTTTACTCATATTAGTCAGTACAAATACACAGATGTTTCTCCAATCCTCCATACATGTTTGATGCGATTAGTTTAAAATCATTATTAGGGCTTATTTTATAATAATAAAAAGGTGAAAGCGTATGAACTTGACTTTTGTTTAGATTATTAAAAGGCAGACATACAGCTTCGTTGAGGGTTTTAAAAGCAAGTTATTCATTCAGCAGGGACCTTCCTAAGTTGCATCACTTTTTATTGTTGGATTGTTCTAACAAGGATTCACACCTCAACACTTTAATGCCTCCTAAAAGGAGATGCTAAAGCATGGCTATGATTTTTAATGGTTTTTTTTTTTTTCACAGAAATGTATTGTTTGCTCTTGTTTGCTGGGATTTTGATCTCGTCTGTTTGTTTTTCCCTACAAAGGTCTGATCCCATCAGTTTGATGGACTAAAGGTATTAAGAGGAAGAGAGTGAGAAGAGGAGGGGTTCATGCATCGTTACCTTCTTGGAGGTGAGAAAGTCTATTAATGTGAGGTGGCGGATGGTCAGGTTTAATAAGCACCTTCCCAGAGCAGAGCAATGAAAGTGTGAATCTTGAACTGTGCTGGGACCAGAGCTGAACAGCTCCATCATGACTCCAGCTGATTCACGAGATGTGACTTAAGATGAACGATCATTTTCATGCTTCTTCAGACATTTCTTCCTGCGCTGTTCCATAAAAAAAACTTGAAGACTACCCACCACCTTAGAATGTGGAACATACCCAATGAAATTTGTACCATTTTGTAGACTTGGCTAATTAATGTCTTAATAAAATTAAATAATATAAAGCAAGATGCATAAAATAAAGTTAATTTGTTGCCTTTTTTGTTATATGATGGATTTTAAAGAGGACATATATATATATAAGAGAACCCTTTAAATTGCACAGTTTTTCCCCTTTCTGCCTTTTTTATGTCTGTTTTTTTTTTTTACTTTAGCAGAAATGGATCTGACCCAGGACCAGCCTTTGGGGTGGAACCCACTTGAATCCAGCTTCTCACCACTGCAGCAGGAAAAACTCAGCCACACCTTCAGTTTCCGCAGCACTCTGATGTTACCATCCACTTTTGACTCCTCTACTGCTCCTCTCGATCAGCCTCTGCCCTCTCTCCTCCCCTCTTCTCGTCCTCCTTACTCGTCCCTTTTCTCCCTCCCTGTACTATCCACCACCTCCTCGTCTGACTTCAATGCTCCAATGAGCTCCTCTTTTCTTCTGTCCTTCTCCAACATCTCGTTCAATGATCTGGCAGACCTGGAGAACATGCTGCTGTGGACCCTCCATGAACCCAGCACCATTGCTCTGACCATCATGTACAGTCTGTCTTTCATCCTGGGATTTATCGGGAATCTAATGGCCCTGAGGGTCCTCACCAGCAGACGCAGTCGACGGCTTGCTGGAGTCAGTGCCACACGCAGTCTCCTGGTCAACCTGGCAGTTTGTGACTTGGCAGTGGTGTGCGTGTGCATGCCCATCACTCTGGGGAATCAAATCTACACCGCCTGGGTCTACGGTGACCTCTTGTGTCGGGCCGTGCCCTTTACGCAGGCCGTTTCAGTCTCAGCAAGTGTGCTGACGCTGACTGTGATCAGTGTGAATCGTTACTACAGCGTTCGATCTCCGCTCAGAGCTCGCTCCATGTTTACTCGCCGGCGGATTTTGGTGACCATTGCCGTTGTGTGGACCGTGTCCTTCACGATGTGTGCGCCGATAGCGGTGATGAATCGGAGACAAGAAATCAGCTTTGAGACTTTCACCATTCTGGTTTGTCAGGAGGAGTGGCCTCAGCATCGCCTTAAGCAGGGGTAGGTACCCGACAACCCACCAATGTTTAATGATCTCATTTTTGTTTCAACATTCAGATTAAATTCATCTATGGATGGATGAGATGAGGCTCAAGGGTTCTGACAAACTGAGCTGAGCTGAGAGTAAGAGAGCTGCTGGGCTGTGTTTGGCAAAGGGCATCCATCACTTGTAATTTTCAAACTGGGCAGCTTTGTTACGCATAAATGCTTCTTACCGTTATGCATGCTGAATACTAGGAGGCTGTAAGAGTAAACTTTCAGGATAGTCAGCCAGTTTATACAAGGCTACAAGGATCTTTATTGTCATTCTCATCACATGTGGTACATGAGGTGGAACGAAACTAACTACTTATAACTGACTCTATGTGTTTGTAAGAAATTTGATACCACTTTCCAATAAGGCTCCCCTTATAAATGGCTAATAAATAGTTTATAGATACGTTATTAATCCTTTATAAACGCTTTATAGATCAATAATAACTGCTTATAATGCATTAATTAAGGGTGACAGAGAGACAAAACTGACCAGTTTCTTGTCAAATCTGTTCAACCTATATATTTCATCTAGAGTTGTTATATTAAATATTTCAGACTAAGTTACTAGAACAATAAGCATTTGAAAAACTAAATTTTTTAGAATATAATATTAGTTGTAGATGCTTATTGTGGTTACAAGTTAGTAACTTAGTCTGAAATGTTTAATATAACAACTCTAGATGAAATATATAGGTGAACAGATTTGGCAAGACACTGGTCAGTTTTGTCTCTCTGTCACCCTTAATTAATGCATAATAAGCAGTTATTAATGATTTATAAAGTGTTTATAGAGGAATTAATAACATATCTATAAACTATTTATTAGCATCTATAAGGGGAGCCTTATTGTAAAGTGGTACCAGAAATTTTTATGGTAAATGTTTCTGTTCAGTGCCCTGAGATGACTTCTGTTGTGACTTGGTGCTGTACAAATGAACTGAATTGAAAACACAAGACTGCAGCAGTTCAGACTGTCTGTAGGTTCTCAGTGTCTCAACATCTGTGCAAATTAGATGAAGACTGTATGTGATGCAAGAACAACATTTCTGGCTCATGTCAGTAATGCAAATGCCAACTTTAGTATTTAATCAGACATATATCAATTGATAATTTAGAAAAGCTGCATCTATAAATTTAGTTTAAGTCAATTACATTTTGGCTTTAAATTGTAATGCTAAAATATGCGGCGTATGCACGTTACATTATTAATAAATGTATCACTTCATTTAAAAGAAACCTGTCTTTTGTCTAAGTAGAGGCATTTTCACAATCTGTGTTTTTCCAATATTCATTTGTTTTATTTGTGTGTGTGTGTGTGTTGTTATGATAGTTTTCTGTGCTTTCCTTGTGTTTAGTTGTTCTCCAGTGTTTCCTATGCCACCAAGTCCTGGTTCTCAGTCCTCCACTCACAACTCTTCCCTATAACAATCGACCCTCACTGTATCGCAGTTCACTTCTTCAGGCTTTGTTATATCGCAGGTTTTTTAAACCTGTTTACATTGTGTGTGTACTGTGCACTGTACATTCACCTCACCGTCATCATCCTCATCGCCGAAGCGTTTAAGAGCATATGAAGTGTTAATAAGCGAGTGGGAAACGTTTGTAGGAGTGTGCGAAGGGTTTATACAGCCATAATATATATATAAACAATAAAATAAATTATAACTCTGCTATTTCTTAGATTTTCACCCTCTGTGGGGGTTTCTGAAACATAACCCCCTCGATAAGTGAGGGATCCCTGCACTCATCAAGCTCAGCTGCAATCTCATACCTCATTAGTTCCAGCTCACTTATTCTCCTTGTCCTCATTCCATCCATTTTTTTTTTTTTGGTTTAATTATTAAATATTTGCTTTTCTTTTAGTCTTAATGAGAGTCTGCATCCTTGGGTAATTTCTGCACAGTACATGACATGCAGCCTCACAAAGGTTTGGATGTGAAATAGAAAAAAAGACAGATTGAGAAAATTTAGAAAATCCAACTAATCTAATTCATGTTTTTGATTGTGGCAGGAAACTGGAGTAACCAGAGAAAACCCACTCGTGCACAGGATGAACATACAAACTCTTCATGCAAATCCCCCCCAGCCTAAACTTGGAAACTTCTTGCTGCAAGGCAACAGTGCTAACCAAATGTACCACAGTCCGTCCATGAGATAAAACTTTAGCTCCCCCTCCCTTTTAATTATTTTTGGCTTTTACATTTAAACCACTAATACAAGCTCAAGGTGACCAAGATTTATTTTTTCATCACAGTAATTTCAGTGCTAATTCAGAGCCAGTGTTTAAAACAATTTTCTTTCTGCTTCAATGGCCAAAGCATTGAATAACTCATTGCCCAAACTTTATACTGGGATAGAGCAAAGAAATGCTTCTGTCAATGGTTAAGAGTGGGCTTATGAAAACCAACAACAACTAACTGTTGAAATAAAAAACATGATTGCATTTAGAAAACAAAGTCAAAGTAGCAAAAATGTTACTGGTTCTAATGAAGTTGAGGTAACTCACTGGTTTAATCTGGCTTCATAAATGAATATAATCAATCTGCATAGAAGCAGAAAATGTTGCGATGCTTTCTCATAACCCAAAGGAAGCATGCGGTAGTAAAAAGAACCTCAACCTTTCTACTAAAGAAACAAACTTTTAACTGTTTTATTCTTCTGCAGATACAACGTCTTGCTGTTTGTGATGCTCTACTGTTTGCCCGTGACATTTAACCTCACCATCAGCTTCCTGACCGGCAGACGACTTTGGGGAGGGAAGAAATCCACCTTTGCTGATCTCGACCCCCGGAGCCAAGCTCTTCACACCTCACGCCTAAAGACAAGGCAGAAGATTGCAAAGATGGTGGTATGTCTGGTGCTCCTATTTGCGGTCTCCTGGCTGCCCCTCTACCTGGTAGACCTTTGGATTGACTGCCAGCACCAGCCGTCGTCTTGGCTCCTGCAGACTCGGCCTTTTGCACAGTGGCTGGGCCTGACCAACTCCAGCCTTAACCCCATCTGTTACTGTTTCATTGGAGATCTGTATCGCTCAGCAAAGGTCATACGGACTCGATACTACCAAAAAGTTGCTGCTCTTTTTAGCACCTCCTCGTTCTCCAGCTCGGCCGCAGTGGTTTCTCCTGCTGCCATCATTACAGAAACCAAAGGGATTTCAGCTGAGCGTCACCGTATCGCAGCAGCCATGGCTGCTTCTGCTTCAGTGGTTACCATCCCAAGACTGCTGGGTTTAGCCAGTGTCCAGGGACAGAAGGTCAGGGACAGTTCAGACAGCGAAATTGGATCGGACCACAGTATCTCAGACTGGTGTCAATCCAGTCCGAGCGTGTGTGACGACTCTTTATTCCACTGCCAGCTTCACACACTTCAACAACCTTTGCAAACGACAGACTTCATGCCAACCAGAAGACACTCTGTGAATGATGTTGCTGTATCGTTATCTTTAAGAATTGAACCTGTGGAAATAGACCTGCTACCACTGAGGAGGTATTCAGAGCACAGAATTTATGGTCTGCCAGCTGATAAGAGAGACATTATTGCCAAGGAACGAGATAGATTTTGTTACTCTGGGCCGCACAGAAGCAAAACAACCCCAAACTATTCTCTGAAAGGAAACGCAGAGAGTAAAACAACAAATATGACGAGCCTGTGAATGTTTCTGATTATCGGACGTATCAGCTGGGAGGAATTTCCTCTTTTTGTCCTGCAAGAAGTGAAAACATACTTCTCCTAACGTACGCTTCGTAGTTGACAGAACGGATGAATTATTCCCAGAAGCCTCTGTTTGTCTTGTGGATAAACTCACTTTGCTCTCCTTCTTTCTGCATCTAGTCTAGCATTATCGAAGGCTTTTGAGCAGACGTGAAGGAAACAGTGACAGGGTAAAACCTGCAGGGGAGCAGCTCAAGTGGTTTTTAGTTAGTTGACAGTAAGAAGGATAGATCGCAGCCATGTGCCATAGCATATAAGTCATATAGACACAACAGTTTATATCTTCTTCTTGAGACATCAACCCAGCAGGACTTACAGTTTAATGACTTCTTGTGAACATTTTTATGTCTCTAATTGTGTCGTTCTGACTGGGTTTGTTGCTCACGGAAAAGAGCTCACTTTTTGTTGTAGTGTAATGCCAAAATCTACTGCATGCAAGGTTCTGAATTACGACGAGTTTCTCATCATAAATGTCTGTTTTAAAAACCTTTGCAGACAAAAAAAAAGGCTGCTACTTGTTCAGGACATGAATTGAAACTTATGAATGCGCTTTTACATTGTGACTTTTGGTAATCATTAAAAAAACAAGACCTCTATTAAACCAAAGGCATTGGCTTTTCTTTTTAATATTCATATAAGGAGCAGCTGTAAACCAGAAATGGTAGACTCTACATTTGGATATAATGTGATTATGCATGATACATTATGATTATAAAACAAAAAGATAAATTAGTGGCTTAATCTACATGAGGCTAAAGAGGACTAGATGACGCAAATGGGCAGGATCAATGATACGATTGCTGTACTATTTATAGTGAATCCCAGAACACTCAAATACATTGTTTCCAATGAATGTAAGGTTGAGAAGAAGCATGTATGTGCAATATATTCCTCAAGTAAAAGGAGCAAAGTAGCAGGCACATTCTTAGGAGATTATACCTCTTTTTTTCCCCATTCTAACACAAGTTCCTGAATGTGAAGTTTAAAAGATAAAGATTGTTCAAAAAAACAAAAAAACAAAGTCTAAATAAATAAATTTGCTGTGATATGAAAGGACTAAAATGCTTGTTCTCAGTATCCGGAAATACTTTGATTTTGCATTGTCTCAAGTTTGTCCTCTGCAGATATTTTTATGCTGTAATAAAGGTGACATCATGGAGAAGGTTATGCTGTTGTATGGGTGCAATGCAGTTAAATAAATCAGCTGAATAAAAGAGGACGTTTGATTAGGATCATGTTCCATATTTAGTCAAAAGATCCTCAGCTTCCCTATGAAGCATTCTTTACAGCATTGAACCTTCAAAGCAACAAGGCAACATTTTGTTCAAGTTAATATATTTAGCTATGGATTTCATTTGGTCATTTTTATTGTCTTTAAAACAATGTAAGGTCTCAAACAAAAATTACTCTTGACACAAAATATATGGGAGCTACAGCTGTTAACACTTCAAAACTTTTTGATTAAAAAATGGTTCAAAGTTTTGAGAAAACCTTAAATTTTTTGTTGATTGTTTCAGATGTATATTTTTTTAGTGTAGTTTAGTCACAAGAGGACTACTCAGTAAACAGAACTTTGTCATGATAATATTAGATTAAATATTTGCTTTCAGTTGTATTTTAGCTCCCTTATACCCTTGTTTGTCTTTTAAGACTTAATTTTTTCTTAGTCACTTTTTATAATTTTTGTTTTATGTACCAAAATACTCTACTTGGTTTGGTTTAGGAAAGTTTAGTACATTATATTTAATTTTTCATATGATGACAAAGAGAAAGGGTTTGTTTTCATATTGCATAAGACTAAAATTAGACTGTTTTATGCCATTTGATGGAGATTTGAAGATTACTGTCAAGTCAAATGTATTAAAGCACATTTTAAAACAACAGTTGGTACCAAAGTGCTGAACAATAAAAGACAATGGCAACAAATTAAAGAAAAAATAATAATAAATGCATCAAAAGAAAATAAATATAAAATGACAAAAACAATAAAATACGAAAGCAACTCACACTGGGTTAAAAGTCATTGAAAACGGTTGAGTTTTTAAAGGAGATTTAAAAACAGTGTTGAGGGCAGATTGTTCAAAAGTTTAGGAGAAAAAGCCTGATCTTCTCTGAGCTTCAACCTGGTTTTCAGGACAAACAAAAGCAGCTGATCAGCTGATCTCAGCACCCAAGAAGGAACATAAGGTTGAAGTAGATCAGAGAGATGAGAGGGTGCAAGGCCATTTAGGCACTTAAAGGTCAACAGGAGAATTTTTAACTCTATTCTGATACATACAGGGAGCCAGTGACGGGAAGACAATATCAATGAAATATGTTTAAGGAAAGATAAAAAGATAGAACTTTATTGAAAATCTACGAATTCCTGTTAACGCCCCCAACATAAAATGTGTTACAGTAGTCTAGTCTGGTTGTAATGAAGACATGCACCATTTTTTCAAGGTCAGTTCTGGTCTATAAGCTTATACTTAAGCTAGCTATCTGCCTTAACTGGAAGAAACTTTTCTGCAAAACAGAGTAAATATCTTTATTAAACTTATACTGTGGTTTAGTTTTCATTAAACCTCAACTTCATGCATGATACAGTATCTATATATATGTATGTATAAAGGTGTTTTAAACACTTCCCGCACTCTTGCAATACTCTAAACAATGTTTTTAAACTCTAAACGTTCTAAAAGAGCACAGAATGTCATGATTTCAGCTTTCTGCCTCGGCTGCTCTGTGCCACCTGCTAGCGCACTCAGCCACGCCCACTTCTCTGCTCTGCACAGAGATCAGCTGATCAGCTGCAGTAGGAAGCTAATCATGCAGTGTGGGCTGCATAAATGTGCAGCAGGTGCTAAATAATTTAAAATAATTTATTTTAAATAATGAAATCCATGCCGATCGTGCGGCTCATCCATCAATCAGTCAGTTGTGTGTCATATCCAATCTTATTTTGAAAATCTGCGATTGAGTGAGTCCGCAATAGACCTATATCTAATCTAACATTCATCTAGAATTTTTTTGAGAAAAATCGATTGTGTGAACATCTGGATAGAATTAATGTGTTTGAAGAGTTTCAGTCAGTGTTTAGAGCTCATCATAGCACAGAAACAGCACTGGTGACAGTCACTAATGATATTCTCATGGCCTCTGACAATGGACAGGTGTCTACACTGGTCCTGTTAGACCTCAGTGCTGCATTTGATACAGCTGATAGCAATGTTCTATTACAGAATCTGGAATATGATATTGGGTAAACACCTCTAAAGTTATTTAAATCTTTTTTTTTTGGATAGATTCCAGTTTGTAAATAACAAACCTTCATACACCAAAGTTAGTCATGGAGTTTCTCGGGGTTCAGTGCTTGGACCAGTACTCTTCACGTTATATATGCTTCAAGTTATTAAACAGCATGGGAGAAATTTTCATTGTTTTGCTGATGATACTCATGAGGGCTTTCATCTACCTGTGTATTATATTTAAGATTAGAACCATCTTGTTAAAAATGATGCAGAAAAACTGGTCCATGCATGTGTCATGTCTAGGCTGGACTATTGCTATTATTTTGCAATTATTAACCCTTAGTTATGCTGCTATAAGCTTAGACTATTGGAGGACAAAGTGACCACATTTCCTCACTCTGCTGCTGTCTTTACTTGCTCTACTCTACCTGTTTGTAATTATTTCTGTCTTTAATATGTGTTTTTTGTCTTGCTTCCAAAAGAAAGTACATCTGGACCTGTCATTTTAGCTTTATCTGTTTCTTCTTCCTGTCTTCTCAATCCCCAGCCAGTCAAAGCAGATGGCCACTCATCCTGTGACTGGTTTTGCTGGAAGATTCTTCCTGTTAAAAAGGAGTTTTCCTTTCCACTGTTGCCTTTGTGCTTGCTCAGGATGGGACTGCGACAAAGTGAAGGGTCAACGCAATAGGCTGGCTTTCTTAGATAGATAACTTTTATTAATCGTTTATGTATGTGAATGTTTTTGTACAGTGCCCTGAGACAACTTCTGTTGTGACGGCGCTACTTGAATAAACTGAATTGAAATTGCCTCTAAACCAACACATAGTTTGCTGAATGAGAGACAAAAGCAGGGTTCTAAAATAGATTTTAAAGAACCAAGAAACACACACCCACACACCCACACACACACTCCATTGAATGTACCCTCAGGCTGCTTCCAGTTGTGTGAAAGTCAAAGGTGGTAAATACCATGAATCGCTGTGACATCAAGCTGCTAATCACATTCTTGTCCTCATAGCAAACACAAGGAGGTGCAGCATCGAGGGGATCAAACTGCATCCAAAATATCCAATTTCTCTTCTCGCATATGGCTGCTCTTGTTTATTTTATTTGCAATGTTATGTATATTGGATTTGATGCATTATGCATTGTATTCAAAAAACAAATTATACTGTTTTTGTGGCTGGTGTCTAAGGTAACCATCCCCCCAGGATTTGTTCACATTTCACCAGTTCGACCGAGCTTTTCTTAGAAGAACGCGAGTTTAGGGATTGTACAACTTGTCCTGATCTAACAAGGTCATGTTGAATGATAAGAGGTCTGACACTGACAGACAAAAGCTTTATGATCTTTTTCTTATGTTCGCTGGAGCTTGATTAAATTTGAATGGGATCTGAATTCAGTTATTATAAGCACTTGTTCATTTATCAAATGACTTGTAAAAATGTTGAAGGAGGGAGCCACCTGAAGAAAGCCTTCACAATTTTTATTAATCAGACAGGAAAAGTTGGCATGCTGATTCCACA